TGTATCAGTTCGATCACTAACCCAACTGTTTATCTGTTTTCAGTGAAATACGAAGCTACTCACGCGAAGTCTGACTGAATTTTGTATCCATATACTACGTTTAGTTGGGCTGACATTAGCCCACCCTTCTATCTCCAAGTCCCTGTGTTTGGTAGATACTCTATCTAAACTACTAGAGTCTACTACGAAATATTCGCTAGTATCTATTGCCATGCGTTCTACTAAGGTTCTAATGACACGATCAAAACCAAAGCGTAAGAAAATTAGTTCTGTCCATGATATGTGGGATTCCTGGCAGGAACAGCAATGTGATTTCAGTATTACTAGACGTCCTTTTCCACTGCAGTCAGTGATTATCTTAAAAATATATCCGGTCGTAAGTTGAATCAAACAAAGTATAGATTTCTGTTACGTAGTTCACTCCCGTTCTTCCCCTGCAAACTGCCCTAAAAACTGGACGCTTTTGCACGTGTTTACATTTATATTCATTTATTACTTACTGTTGATTGATCTTTAATAACGATGGGTCAAAATTCTAAAAAGCGTGTTCGTGTGAACACCATTAATTTAGAAATTAGCATCAGCTCGTCTAATAACACATTACCACCCCTTATTATTAGTAGTTCAGCCAAAATAAAAGACTCGAACACAACTGTGACCCCTGTAATAGAGGTGGAAGATGTTTTGTCTGAAAAAATAGAGCTCTCTTACTTAACATGCATAATTAAGGAGATGCAAATACAGATAGATGAATTAAAAAGGAAAGTAAATTCACTAGAATGCATACCCGAAACTATCTCACATATGAAGAAGGAGCTGCAGGATTCTACAATCCTAAGGCTTTTTAAGATGACTTCTAGAATGACGCATACTGACACAAAAATGCGAAGGAGTTAGAAAACGCCATTGAATTTCTATCCAGCGAAGTTGTCGAGATTTTCCACAAAGCAATTGGCTTAGTAAGAGACACGATCGCACCCCTAAAAGACAATGATGTAAGCAGCTTGGAACATAAGGGTATAATATACAATGATCCCCAGATAATGAGTGAACTCCTCAATGAGTGGTTTTGCAATGACGCCAGAGTGCACCCGACCCAAAATTTCCAAATGATTTGTAAAAGTAACCACAAATTAGGCGAAATAGACTTTAATATACAAAATATAGACTGATCGATTAAGATATTGAGGTCTAATGGTAGTACTGGAACAGATGACATACCATCTGTCATATACAAAAATGGTAGCACGGAAATGGTAGTCTTGTTACTTAGAATATTTACTCTCTCGTTGGGAACTGGAACTTATCCTGTGGTGTAGAAAACCACATACATATTATCTATTGATATAAGTATAAAACTTGGACACTGTGGTAGAGTATAATTCCATAATAGATAAGATTTTATTTTGACAAATCACTTGATATGATTATGAGCAATAGTTTGTGCTCGAAACGTCATCAGTTAATATAACTGTACAACACTGTGTGATTTATCAAAATAAAATCTTATCCATTACATATTACCTAAGCACAAAGCAGGGGCCAAAACCAGTGTATGCAACTATAGACCTATCAATATAACACCGGTAATATCCCGAATAATGGAGAAAGTGGTTGAAGACCAAGTGTCAGACAACTTACTAGAACATGAACTTATCAATCCATCACAACACGGATTTCTTAAAAAAGGATCATGTGTGACCTGTCACATAGACTTTTTCAATGAAGTTACACGAAGTAGGGACAACAGAGAACTAGTAATTGTACTATATTTCGATATAACAAAAGCCTTCGACAGAGTTCCCCATAATCTTCTAGGCAGCAGGTTATCCTCACCAGGGATATGTGACCCTCTTCTGAGCTGGATAAAATCATTTCTCTGTGGCCGAAGGCAGACAAAGAAAGTTGGCTCGATGATCTCAAGGCTTAAACCAGTAAGTAGTGGTGTAATCCAGGGAAGTGTATTAGGCCCACTCCTATTCATAATATATAAACAGTATCTGTGAATGCTTTAGTGTAGGTTAGCCAATACTATATGCAGATGACTTAAAAGTTACGTATAAATGCAAGAACACAGATCTTGGAATAACAGTAAACGCCATACAGCAAGAATTAGAAAAAATGGATAGATGGCAACTCCAATTTAATGTCGAAGAATGTGGCTGGCTCTGCATAGATTGCAACAATTTAGAACTTGACCTGACAATTCAAGGCCATGCACTTCTACGACTGGAATTTGTACTGGACCTAGGACTGAAATATTCACATGACTTATCATTTTCTGAACATATCTCCAAACAAGTGGTAAAGTCACGCAGACTTATCGGCTTTCTACTCAGGAACTTCTACAGAAATGAGTCTAGAATTCTGTTGTACAAGGTTTGTGTGCGTCCTTTATTTGATTACTGTTCATTCATGTATAGTAGCATACGCATAGAGGACAAATTGAAAGTCGAGGGAGTGCAGAGGTACTTCAAGTAAAATTACTCGGAACCGAAAATGGTGCGAACTACTCCACTAGATGTGATACCCTAGGACTAGAAACACTATGGCTAAGACGCCTGAGACTAAACTTAACACTTTACTATAAGCTTCTAAACCTCTTAGTTTTTACCTCCACCAATCGCACTCGACTTTCAAATGACAATGTCTACAAACCAAGACACACTATGTGTACAGTGGCTATCGAACAATGTAAAACAGCCACCAGGCAAAAGTTTTACTTGATTAGGTATGCACAGATTTGGAATAAACTGCCAATGGAAATGCGTCAAGCAAGTACATTGGCCTCCTTCGAAAAGGTGCTCAATGACAAACTACAAGAGTTTGCAAACGATAGTAGTTCTAGTTCCTATCTGAGAGCCTCCGAAATTACAGGTCCATTCAATGTATAAGCTTAAATACTACACCTGTTGTTTTTTGCCTATATTTATAATTCTAGATTAAACGTTAACAGTTAAGATACGTACCCTCAAACAGACAAGAAATCTCGTTTGTAAAACTTCTACCCAACACAATAAGTGGAATAAAATGGACATAAACCGACAATATGAAAAAGGTATAACTCACCACAACATCACATGGACAGATGTACGCTCGCTGGCACTATATATACCTCACTAACTATAACCCACCTTTCCTAAGATAACGTGATGAACTCATATCCATAATGTTGCTGAGCAGTTAATATTCTCAACTTCTGTCAGAACAGCTGAAATTCATAGACCTTCCTCACGCTAAGAAAATACCCACGAGCAGTAGAAATCCATTAATTAATGTGTCCGAAGCTTATGTACTTACTCCCAACAATGACATTGCAGATCAAATGAGATAAACACATCACTGATTCCAAAATAACACATCAATGAACTATGATTTGAGGACTCTGCACACAACAAAGTTATGTATGAATATTGACTTCAAGCTTTTTTTCCCAGGCACTTATAATCCATCCACCAAAGACCTGGTTTTTTTGTTAATGCGAAGACAATACTCCTGTATTTCCTGATGTGTTGCACTCACTGACAATCTAGCAGGTTTTTCCAACTGTGCACAGAAATGATTGTATATAAGTGAAAAGGTTGTTTTATACTACTGGGATTAACATTTATCAGCGAACATGTAAAGCATATCTTGCTACTGCCTGTAAATTGTGATTGAATTATATGGTTCTATTTCTGTAACAATTTGATGGTGCTTGTAAACTGGCATCCTCATTTACTGTACTATGAGAATAAATTTATTTATTTATCAGAATAACAACAACTGTACTTTTTTAGGCTGCGAATAACCCTCAAGTAACAAAAATGTTAACCAGCTGGTAAATCCAACCTCGCCACCTGAAAAGACCAAGTGAGATAGAAAACTAGCTATCTGTATTGTCTGGCTGAAAGTCACTTTCATTTTTAAATAATGATTGCATAAGCACGTCTACTTCCACTAAGGGAAGGGTCGCAATGAATTAAGAAGTCAAGCAATTCACTACGTGGTGTGGCTGTATTCTCTGAGTTGGATGGTTCATTTGCGAAGCTTTCACTCACTTACTTCTCCAGCAAGGACTCTACCGCCAAGATTGTGGGAGAACTGCACGGACTGTCAGGCTCTTCGATTATCCTCTCAACCACTACTTTGGGAATTTGCTTGTCTACTTCTTTCTCTAAGTGCACTGGCACTTATATTATTTTTTCTGGAATATTCAGTGGGATCACGTGCTTTGTTGTATCACAATAGCCGTAGGTTTCTGTGCCTTTTGTGGATGAGGTTGTATATTCAGCTTTCGATTTACCGGTACTTGATACTTCCTTCGGGATTCCTCTCATCCTTTTCCATCAACTACTTTGCCGATGCACTGAACTTCCATTAGTCTTATTTCTTCTTGTTGGAATCGCCAACATCTCTGGAGTTTTACAATATGCCGTTTCGGAATAATTTTTATGTACCCCATTTGAAGCTTAATCAGTCACTCCTGTATTTAAGAACTCCTTCACAAGACCTGAGTAATATACTATGCACAAATTCTTGGAAGCACAGCGCATTTTTGTCAGCCAACTAATGTGAATGTGCATGAAAAATCGTTTTCGGATGACTGAGTTCCAATATAATCCAATATCGAGCACGAAGATGACCTAGGGCTAAAAAGGGAATTCTTCATCGTACAAGTGGACGAATCAATTGTTGGTAACTATTGGAAGGAGGCTGGATGTCTAAAACCAACATGTTTTACATACAGTTAGAACATTTAAACCATGAGTGTTTGTGAGACGATAGTCTTAGTACAGGTTCAATCAATTAATCAAAGAATTTCGGTCAAGAAATGAAATACTGTATCTTTAAAAAAATGGATATCAGTAATTTGTGCTTTTCATGTATTACCAAACGCAGAGCTTTGGTAGTTAATGGCTCTAGATGCAAATTATTTTAAAGTACATGCACCTCTTACATTATTGTAAAATTGTTTGGAATCTCTATGAAATTGGACATTTAGTCGGTTTGTTTGTGTACGCTAAAGTTCAAGCCGGTAGTTTGACGTTTTCCAACTTGGCAAATGTCGTACTTGTCGAAATTTGACTGTAAATCGGCTAGAGTGAAAGGTAATAATTTTTTAATGGTTTGTGAGACCTCAGAATTAGTTCCTTTTCCAGTCAAGTTGTTTTGATGTTTTATTACAGAGTTCTTACGTATTTTTAGGTCCTAACAGTTACACGTGGTTGTCTGACCTACATAATAAATCTTAAGTAAAATGTAGTAAAACCTAGCATCTAATTGTTATATTTATTTCTTATTTTATTTTTGTTATTATTACAACCTCAAGTACAAACATTTGCTTACTAGGTGGCTGTAGGAAAATATTTCAGTCCAGTAAGTCTATGTTATGGTCGCGAAGACTGGCTGAAAGCTACACTGGTAGTCAGTGTTAGAGGTAGATTATTAGCTGTTGATGTGAACGAAGTTAAACTATAGGGTCCCGGCGGGTGTGAAGGTGCAAGTTTTTGAAGGCATGGTAGTCTTCCGCTTAGGACAGCTGTTATTATAATAGCGCATACATGAAGGCTGTTCACCAAGTAAGGAGCCAATTTCACCCAGATCACATTCCTGAGTACTGTTCGGACAATGCATTAATAGCTCGTTAGGGTTAGGATCAGGGTTATAATTAGGATTGAGGTTAGGGTTACGATTAGGGATAGGTTTGGAGTTGGTATTATATATTTTAATTTGATCTATTATCTACATTTCCCAGGTAAGTAGTCGTCGATCCTCTTACTGGAAACCATGAAAAGGTTAGCTGTCTTTGATCATAGGTGCCTGCGTTCTATCTCCCGTGTGAAATGGTATAATAGGGTGAGCAATATTGAGGTTAGGTGTCGAGTGCTAGGTAAGGAGGGGAAATCAGTCGACGAGGCTGTGAAGTTACATCGACTGAGATGGTTATGACATGTGCTACTCATGCCTAGCCGTCGCCTTCCTTGACGGGCAATGTTAGCAAACAAAGGATGGATCAGATTGGAAAAAAGCCAGAGGTGGTCAAACTAAAACGGCCTCATCAGTCAATGAAATCCACAACAGTTAGTTTAAGCCACGTAGAAAGGTGTAGACTTCCTGGTTGGGATCCTCGGAACGGTAAACACCAGTTACTGGAGACAATCGGTGCTACGGTTCAAAATCGTTCTCAATGGTGGGCACAGATGCATCCACTCCTTATGACTTGTATTTTCCAATAAAACTATATTGCTCTTTGATATTACTATTGTTTTTGCCTCATATCTCTGTTTACTGTCTGTATTTTGCGTTTCTTTTTACTTACTTTCCTTGCTTTGTGTACTACATGGAGTGTTGTGACTCGAACTGCTGCACATCGGTACAAAGTTCTATATTAAAACCAATCAGTCAACCGAAGGCTTTTAGGAAAGACAGCAAAACAGGATAAGAGCGATAAACGTGTCACAGAAAAAGTGCACTTTAGTCACCTCAGTTAATACATGTACAAAAACTGGTCTAGCTTAAAAACATACTCCTCATTATAACTGGCACGTATTGAATCACGTCGGAGTGTGTTTTCATATATTCTCTTGTAAATAATCATTTTTTGTGCAAAAATCACTTGTTTTCATAGGGATCGGCTCCAGGTCACTGGTGCGTTCACATCTCTTGGGACTCCATAGTTTCACTTTGCCTTGATGTGTATCGATTCGCAGGGTGTATAAGGTAGATTCAGGGTAAAAATTCATGAGAAGGTTGACAAATAGCAGGTCGATTTTGGAAAATTTCTGGTAGCACTTTTGGTGTATCCATTCCTATGTACGCTACTTCTCAAACTTTCAGTTGATCCGGAAAAATATTGTAGGTGCTTAAAGGATGTTCAGCTGCGACAGTATTACCTCTTACATTTTCTGTTTTTTTTCTATAGTTTGGTTTGTAAGGATTAGTTATGTTTTTTACGAGTTGATCATGGATTGATATCAGTTAGCGAACCATTGAAAACCAGGGAGTACTGGACAGGTGATGTTTCATCCTAGTTTGGGAATCATCGGCAGTACGCAGATTGCGATTCCAATTTTCCCGATGCATTGTTTTCAATGACTGGTACAGTCTCTCTTTTTTCAATGAACCATGCGCCAAAGTGACGCGGTACAAGCTACGATACTCAAAAATAGGGAAAGAAAATGAACAGAGATGTACAGGGGGGGGGGGGGGTAAACAAGTATATGAGAAATGATGAGAATTTGATGGACCAAGAAATTCATAAACGGTGGATGTATTTGCATAATTGAGAACGAATTTTAGCCATGTTACCAAAAGTCTATACCCATTGGTACCAACTGGGTACCAGCCAGTTAGTCGACAACTCCCGATACGACTGAAAGAGTGGAATGACCACCCTTAACTCTTTTTCAACTTATTCTTAAGATAAATTTCAATTAAATTCAGCTAACATTGCTCAACGAGGAAAGTGGTGGATTTGAGTGCGCATGGTGTGCTAGCTATCTCAGGGGAAACGGTTTCACACTGCATCTAATCTCGGTATTACCATATTATACCACTTAACACGAGATATAAGACGAGGACACGTCAGAGACATGTATTCTCTTCAATAATTCCAAAATTAAGATGAGTATGAATTCCATTTGTTCTTTGGATTAGGTCTCAGTCACAAGTTATAAGCGATCGAACATATTGCCTACTGTGTAAAGTCAGTTATCTATTTGGGTTTTGCAAGTGGACCTATGTGGCTAGGCCTCATGAAGCAGTCAGTTATTTTTAGTCGGTATCTACATTAGTCCACAAGTTAAACATGATGGCATATTCACCATGCATCGTTAATGCTAATTGTATGTCCAAAAATTTGTTCGTTAAATACTTTGTACAAGTTTAATGTGAAATAATAAATATTTGAATTTCAGGATTAGCTTTCCATCCTAAAAGGCCATGGATTCTAAGCAGCCTTCATACAGGGATTATACAGTTATGGGATTATCGCAGTTGTACACTTATTGAGAAGTTTGAAGGGCATGAGGGACCTGTCCGTGGCATTGATTTTCATGCCAACCAACCCTTGTTTGTCTCTGGTGGTGATGACTACAAAATCAAAGTATGGAACTACAAGCAAAGAAAGTGCTTATTTAATCTGACTGGTCACTTAGATTACATAAGGACTACATTTTTCCATAAGGTAAGCCAGTGTGGTGTTTTTTCTGTAATGTGAGTGCTAATTTAGACTGATAAAATATCAGTGTAGAGTTCCTCATAAAATTACTCTGTTTTAAGTTACTTTATTTTGAAATAGCATGAGAAGTGATACTTCAATAGAAAAGCATTTATGGGGTGGAATAATCCAACGCAGTCGAGTTAACACCTAGGAATCTCGACGACCTTAAAGTTCGCATACGTCGCGTTTGTGAGCGGTAGCATGTTACAAAAAGATTGAAACCATTAAATGTTATCATTTTAAGTTCCCAATAAGGCAAAGACCAGCAGCTACCTTTACTGATTTGCTTTTACATGTGATTAGAAACTTGCTTTTTCATCTCGCAGATGTCACTATCTGCGAGAAATACCGGTTTATGACATACCACATGGTAAATTTATGATGAATTAAAGACACTCAAATTCTTCGGAATTTGCACTGTAGTAACATTTCTACTTGAATGTATCCAAATGCTAAAGGATCTGGTCATTTAGAAAAATCGCTGTCAGATAGCGTCACATTCACATTCGTTCACACAACAGTTGTGCATCAACAGATCCTGACTTGGGTTAACTACCTTTCATCCCAGCGCCTCAATTCCTGGACTGACCACCTTCAACCAATCGAATGGCGAGCGAACTGTAAAGGGAATGGGAACCACTGGGATGACATTCTAAGCAGATCTCCAAGTCATCGAAGCCAGTATTTTAGATTAAGATAATCTACTCAAAGGTTATCTCTGTCTTGCAGGTTACCAGAATTAATAAAACTGTATCGCTATCGAATGCAAGCATTTCTGTTGAGACAGGATAACCAAACACAATTGCAGACCATCTCGGACCGGACGCGTATCACAGGCGTAAATCAAGATTACATTCATCGAAGCGAACCTTACCTATGATAGCAGGGTAATCTAGATTAACGTATGCTATTCCACTGTAGTTACCTAGATACCGGGCAAATTTGAATGCTTCACTAGCGCGGCAGGTGCTGGCACAGTTTCCTGCTATTGTTGCAACAGTGCTTTGCAAATAGGCGGCTTGCCGCTCACAACATACTTATGTGTAGCTTTGGTAACTTGTATATTATTGTACGATGTAATACTATCTTATAGCAAGTTATCTAATTGGAGAGGAAAGTTGTTTGGGTGCTTTAGCGCTAAGAGTAACCAAACCGGTTAGTCTGAGTAACTGAAGTATAAATGCTACAAATTGGTCTCTTAATGTGCACAAGCACAAGTAGTTTTTATGTTATTCATTCATTATGATGAGACGCCTTCATTGTGTATGCATTAAGGTCTTAGGTATCATTGGTCGTCTCCAATCTGTTGAGTAAGCTGATTGATAAAACGTAAGCAGTTTACTTTGTATGAGATCATAGGACAAGAGAATAGGTAATTTTAGTTCCTCATGCTTAACGGAAAAGTTCTTGAGTGGTTAGACCACGGAGTTATAATTGCCAAGTGAGACTTCTAGTAGTCATGCAACGTGTGAAAAGTGAGAGTGCTTGATTGTTTTGCATAATTTTGTTTGCAATTGGTATCACATTATTTTTAACAATTTTTATCAACTAGGAATACCCGTGGATCTTGAGTGCTTCAGATGATCAAACTATTCGTATTTGGAATTGGCAGTCGCGAACTGTGGTATCCATCTTAACGGGACACAGCCACTATGTTATGTGTGCTCAGTTCCATCCAAAAGAAGACCTTATTGTGTCGGCGTCTCTAGACCAAACTGTGCGTGTTTGGGATATGTCAGGGTTAAGAAAGAAAAGTGTGGCTCCTTCTTCACTATCGAATTTAGAGGTAATTTGTAAATGTGTCATTACATGCTAGACTTGGTGTTTGTGTTTATTCCTTTTATAAGTATTTTGAATATTATACAGTTATCTGTTCTTTTCACCCTTTCATAAAAAATCATGGTTCACGCAGTACTCAATTTATCCTTTTTTCGATTAGGGCATATTGTCAGACGATGCGCAAGTGTCGCATTTTGTAATGATACTTAGTGTGAAGTATGTTATCTGGGATCGTTTTCGACCATTTGCAAGCTTGTTTCACAGACGTAGCAGTTTAATATCGGTTTTACGACTTTATAGTAACATTAGTTTTCTCAGTTTTTGGTTACTTTTTAGATTTCCATTTGGATGACTTCCTTCGCTTTTGTTCATTTGTACTTCCCAATGTTACTTTTAATTAGGATCATGCCAGACAATTTACTGGACAGTCTGGTCCTGGAGGTTCTGGCCCTAATTTGTTTGGTCCGAGCCATACCGAACTATTCGGGACGACAGAAGTCATTGTTCGACACGTTCTTGAAGGTCATGATCGTGGTGTGAATTGGGTTGCTTTCCATCCAACTTTGCCTATAGTCGTGTCTGCAGCAGATGATCGTCTAATAAAAATATGGAGAATGACTGGTAAGTTACGATTATGCTATTACATCGGGTTTTGTGTTGTCCATCCTGATTTTCTATCTATCATACTTCATTTTCTTGATGACAGGTGATAGATTAGAGTGTTCAGTTTTCTATCAGTTAATTATGCCTATTTCAGTGTTCTTAGTTTATAAATACCCGTTTTATTTTGTCAGAGTCAAAAGCTTGGGAACTGGATACTCTTCGAGGTCATTACAATAATGTTAGCTGCGTCGTCTTTCATCCTAGACAGGATTTACTGCTTTCTGATTCTGAGGACAAAGCCATCAGAATATGGGATTTAGCCAAGCGAACCTGCGTTTCTACCATTCGTCGTGATTCAGACAGATTTTGGGTTTTGAATGCACATCCCAAACTAAATGTGTTTGCTGCTGGCCATGATACAGGGTTTGTAGTTTTCAAACTGGAGCGTGAAAGACCCGCATTTACAGTGTACAAAGATTACATGTTTTATGTGAAACTCCCATACCTTAGAAGAGTAGACTTTACTGCTACCAAAGATGTTCCAGTCCTTCAACTTAGAGAGTAAGTTATACATGCATGCCTATCTAGTCAGTAATCATTTTATTTCGGTGTTTTCATCAGAATTCTGTTCTTATGTTGGAAATTTGGATACTAAAGCTAATCTGGCAAAGAAGTCCACGTAGCACTTTTTAATCTTATTTTCATGTTACCGTGCAGGACTTTACTAGGACATTTCTGGTGAAGTTTTTCTATTCAGAGGATAGACGTCTCAGATGTTCTCTATTGCATGTTTTCTTCACTAACGCGCATTTTCACGTTCTGAATCATTCATCGTAAATTATTTGATAAGTGAACATCAAAAACCTGACATTATTTTATGAGTTACGTATTGAATAAATTGATTGTTGATAATTGCATCAGTAGTTCAAATTTTCCTTTACGTAATGCTAGGAAGTTATCTAAATTCAGCCTTAATAACATTTTAAGATTTCCTAAAGTTTACCTTCATATTTGTGTTCCAGGATGCGCGTGAAGTGGCCTAGTGGACAATCTTTTGGCTTTTGAAACGATGGGTTTAGGGTTTTAAGTCTCAACGAGAACACCGTCATCACTCACTGAGTATTCAGGCACATTCAGGTTAATCACAAATCCTGAATTCCACTACTGTTCACCACTAATCAAAATACTTAGTTTTTCAAAGCTTTGAATAACCTGTAGTTTACAATAAACTCAATCAATTTGTTGTTAGCAGTTATCTCAAACAGTTAGCAGTTTGACTGCGAATAAATAACAATACGATGCAGTACAAAGCCCGATATACTATTTTTACTGATATCGTGTTTGGTAAAAGATGAAGCTAGTTGAGTGGTGCATATTTACATCGAATATCATGACAAGCTGTATTTAGAGCAAACTGAGCTAGCGTATTAAAAGGTGGTAGTAAGATTACTAACAATTGATGTCAACTATATTGAAACTGTGGTAAAAAAACAGTTGCAACTCAAGGCAGTGCTTTGTTTTTGATGTGAACTGTGTTCTCAGTGACTTTCTTCATCCTAAGTAATAGAGGCATCTACTTTAGAAAAATCCGATATTTTAGAATTCGGCAGCAAATGTACTACTTTTGGACTTCACTATAATTAATTCTCAGTATGTACTCTTGTATTGGTAATTGCTACTTCGTTGTTCGAGTTTGCATCCCTCTCCACCTACTTTGGCTTACACGATTGACGTGTGTCATAAGCTTATATACATCAAGTGTGACTCATGGTCCAATTTGCTGATTGACAAGTGTTAGTTGAATTGCCTTGTTATTTAAAATGCATAAGCTGGAAAGCTATGTCTCTTCATTACCATTGATTATCGGAGATCATAATGTCGTTGACTCAAGTATTTGCTGTTTGGATAACTATCGTCTAAGTAACGTGCATCACTTTTACCACTTGAAACTAATACTGACTTACAACACAGTTTCATAATTCTGTTAAGTTAAAATCTATATTTATACATTATTTAACACTTTCTAACAGAGGTCGTGGTCTGGCTGTTAGTGCTGGTTACAATCCAATCGAAAATGCTATGTTAATTCTTAGTCGTCCACGTCAGAGTGAAATGGGACCGTCGTCGAATTTGTCCATAACCAGTGGTACTAATATGGTTTATGACCTCTACATGCTGCCTCGAACAATAGATAACACTAGTACACAACCTGAACACGTTGAAAGTCGATCAGGTACTGCAATTGCAGTTGCTTGGATTGGTCGAAATAGATTCGCAGTGCTAGAAAGTTCAGGATCAGTAAGTAACTTTAATTTCCATTCGTTGAAAACAGTGTCATGTTATTTCCTAGTTATGAATACTTTGCAGTATCTGCGACTCATAAGAAAGAGTTTGGTTAGTGTAATCCTTATTTTTGATAACATTATGAAATGTATCATAAAGATATGAAAACATCGAAGAATAGAAATCAGTAACACCAGTAAGTATCACTGCTAAGGCAAACGTTTCATGTTTAAACAGAAAAATGCAGGTTTCAAGTCTCTTCATTTCTTATCGTTCTCCGTTACGATCATTCCCAGCTTCATATTTATACAATGTTTATTAGTATCTCAGGCCACCTGATTTCGTTATATGTGGGTCCCAATGTTGATAATGATCCACAAATTAGATCAAAAGGTTTTATATAGGTCGCATAATGATGTCATTAAATATGTTTGCCTATTGGATATCGTCTTGCTTACTGTGAATGTTTCAGGGCCTGCTTTAATAAGCACGGCAAGATAACAAAAAATCTAGGCTCATTAAGTTGAGAGATTAAAGTCCTTAGTCGGAAACCACATTGACCTGTGGCAATTCACTAAAATTTTCAGTCTACATTGACAGCTCTTGATTGAATCTTGGTGTTACGATAAATTAAGATAAAAATAAATGCAAGTTCCGTCAATTAGCGTAAAACAAAATCAAGCATTTTTCTTATCATCGACTGACTATGATAGATCCACGTTCCGTATAAAGTCGGTGGAATAGCGTAAACATACTTTATGCGCATTTCAAAAGTTTAAATAATAGATCCATCTTTCATCCGTATTTCTCGGCTTTTTAACAGCAATGGTAGAGCAGTACATATTTCCTAGTGTTGAAAAAGAAAATTCAGTTAAAAAGATTGGAAAAATGATATTTTTGTAGAACTGTAGCTGAAGACTATAATAAATCACAACTTTTATAGAGAAAGCCTTTTGGAATAAACAGGATCTGTTACTACTTAAATTGCTGTTTAATTAAAGGCTGCTTGATTATGACTAATTTACTCATTCAATATTTTTTCGATCATTATTAATAAATTACTCCGGTTGTACGGTTTAAGTAATTGTTTTTTAACAAAAAATTGTCACCATAAACCACTTTTCAGTCATTTACTATTTGTTATTCATCTCCTCTCCACACGGCCTCCTCTGTGTCACCCTTGGACACCCAACTAATTTCGCATTCAGATTCCGTTCAATCTATATCTCCATTCTCTTCGGCATATATGTTGAGCGACAGGTTCTTTGTTGGTCCTTTGACAGAAGTCCTTGTTGGTGATCCTTTTTGACCATGTAGTCTTCGGTATGGTGAGAAGGCAGCTCTTGATGAAAGTTTTCAGCCTGTTGGAAGTGTTTTTGGCAACGTGTCCGCTAAATCCCTAAGCCATAATGTAGAAACGCTGATCTGACGTCAGTGTTAAAAGTCAAAACCTTATTAATTTTCAATTTGGCCACTTCAGCGTTTTCAATCTCAGATTTTTCCAAAAGTTAATAGCATTCACAAGTATTTTTTCGGAAAAATTTTTCCTAAATGTTTATCTGATCTCTTCAGGATATTCGATATTTTAGCTGTAATAATTTCTACTTTGCATTTCAGATAGTTATCAAGAATCTTGCTAATGAAAATGTCAAGAAGGTGTCTTTTTCTGGTGTTGATCAGTTTTTCTACGCCGGGACTGGTAATTTGTTGATTCGTGATTCAAATGGAATCAGTTTGTGTGATGTTGCCAACAAACGCACTCTAGCCACACTGAAACATACTAAAGTGAGTGTATCAAGTTTGTTCATTTGTTTAACATAAGTTTTACGTAAATATAAGTAAATATTGAGATACTCAGTCTTCGGAAGTACGTCGCACAGTGCATTATAGAAATAAATAGAAGCGAAGACACCTGTTTTCATAAAGTATGTCATACATAGAGTCATTTTATGCAACCCCTATGTATGTATTCGCATCCGTCCAACCAGTTTCTAATCATAACCCTATGGTTAAATCTAAGTACTTCAGCTTCTTTACAGAGGTGAAAAAGATAACAAATTTACGTGTTTTCATAAAAATTAATACATATCATTAAACGCCTGAAAGGCTAGTTTTCCACTATGATAACTTATTACAAACTTGTCAAGTGCACCTCAGTTTGTGATTATTTCACAGGTTCCTCTGAGCGCTATACTAATTAAGATGCTCAAGTAAACATAAACCAATTGTTTTACTTAAGCTTCAAAATTTTTCACTTTTATTTTACATCTTGCTGTGATATTAGTTAAACATACATTAATCTTATTTCTCGCAGCTATCAAACCATACGTAACATGATATGACTTGTTTTTATGTTGATATTCTGATCGATGATGCTTAAGTGTATGTATTCTGCATTGTTTCATTGGCTTGTGTAATTCAATTTTAGTTCATTCGGCATGTTATCTGGTCCCCCGATGGTCAATACGTTGGAATGTTTACTAAATTATATCTTTACTTATGCGATCGACATCTAGAAGTGAAGGCTAGCATTCATGAAACAGTTAGAATTAAAAGTGGTGCCTGGGAAGAACATGGAGTTTTTATTTACACTACAAGCAATCATATTAAATATTGTCTATTGAATGGGTAAGTATACCTACGCGGGATAATTCATCTTCCGAATCATTGATTTTTTGCGCATTCTGATCTTCACTCTAAAGCAACATAAATATAATGGGAAATTGTAAACATGTGGGGATTTTTCATACCCTGAAGATAGGTTGTAATATAAACACCTTATTAGTTATTCTTTGTGGTCGTCTGTTTTGTAGTCCTGTTGCAACTCAGCAACTGCAATAATATTCACTTATTAGCCATAGCTCCTGTGTCGTTAAACCATTTGATTACTGTTATTTAACGCGATTCAAATCCCTCACTCATTAGTCGGAACTTGGGTGTCTAACTACAGTTTTGCTACAGAATATCACTGATGTACAACCCACTTATGTTGTGTAGGCTTTTTTGTATTAAGTTATGAATCCTAATTAGTAACTGCTGTTGGAAACTAAGAGGGTAAAGTAGGATTTTGGGGCAAGTTTCATTGGTTGAAGTTTACCGTCTAAACCAGTCATCGGGTTTGTTCATGTATTCAGCCAAACACTTTTGTATTGGCAACTGTTTACTTCAAAATGTTTCGAGTATATCAGTGTTTACACAACTTTGTTTTACTACATTGCAGTTACAGCAAAGAGTATTCGAAGACGCATCCTTACTGAACAGCCAAGTCTTCACGCACCTGCTCATCTATCATGTAGAATATAATAAACAGCAAAGAATTTAACTTCATATAGGGCAAAAGAAAATATAAGGACTGCTGTGCGCACGCAGGTTTTACACTGGCTTTTCGTCTATTTCAATATCCTTGTTACCTGAAGTATATGTTAAATGGTCCTCGTAAATTTCTTCAGATGTCGCTTCCTTATAACTGATTCACACACTGTCGTCTTACTATTACTATTAATTTTTTTACATCTTATGAAATCAGTATTATGTTAAACTATATCTTCCACTTTTATGTTTTAAGGTAACTAATCCTACTCTATTGTAACTATTGTTTTCAATTAGTGATTATGGAATTATTCGAACGCTTGAATTACCTGTTTACATTACACGTATTCGCGGCAATTCAGTATATTGTTTGGATCGTGACTGCTCTCCACTTGTGTTTACCATAGATCCAACAGAGTTCCGTTTCAAATTGGCACTTGTTAATCGTAGATATGAAGAGGTTAGTTGTAAATGCTTAAAAAATTCCTTTTGTGGCGATTGCCTTCATAAATGAAAATTATATTTCGTGCAATATCAGTTTTTCGTTCACTGAGACAATATTTTTAGTGTCATTTGCAATCAGATCAGATGAATATCTTTTCATTTTTCAGATTTCTATAGTGATGTATGCTAAAGACATCTATGTACGTTGAGTAGCCTCCATACCGTAAACTTTGATTTAAAGTCACCTAAGACTACACTGAAGATCCGCGAAAGGATATTGATCGATTGCATTACTCACTATCCACCAATGTCTGATTGTCTCTTTGTCATCCAAATACCATCTTTAATCACTATGTAAAAACTCCTTACTTCAACATATATAATTTGAGTTATTGGTGAAATGTTGTAGATTTTCTATTCCACATTCCGAAACTTATATATTTGGTTTTTATTTGGGTTTCTAATCTACCTCGATGATACGACTAAATCAAAAAAAAGCAAATTTTGAGTGCTGTGTAAGGTGTTTAATAGCACCATTCTGGTAACGCTTATGTAGATGAGTTGCATGATTCTAGACGTGACACCGATATTCAATGTATGAACATTTTCCCCTTGTATTGTCATTGTTGTAGGAAGAGTTTGACGTGCAAACGTCCTTTTTTTCTAGCGTATTACTTTGAGATGTTGTGACATGCATATTGCTAAGTCATCAGTGTACAATATATACTTTACAAGACTAATTTTGTCTGTAAAAATATCCACAGGTCCTACATATGGTTCGTAATTCAAACCTTGTTGGTCAAGCCATAATCGGATATTTAGAAAAGAAGGGTTATCCTGAAGTTGCATTACATTTCGTCAAAGATACACGTACTAGATTCTCATTGGCTATGGATTGTGGTCAGTTAGATGTTGGATTAGAAGCTGCTCAAGCTTTGGATGATAAAGCTTGTTGGGAGAGACTTGGTGAATTGGCATTGAAACAAGGGAAACTGCAGATGGTTGAAATGACCTACCAACGTGTTAAGAATTTTGATAAACTCACATTTTTGTATTTAATAACGGGAAATTTGGATAAATTAAAAAAGATGATGAAGATAGGTAAGTCATCTTTATTTATACACATTCCCTTTTTTGTAATCTTGGGTTTCCGAGACTGTAGGTTATGGTCTAATCGTATGTAGTCCTAAATTGTTACACCTTACATTACTACAAAAATTACCGAAGTTACAAAAAAGCAGTAATTATCAAAACGACGAAAAGATAAGTGAAACACATTGCTTTCAGGAATAAAAATACTGGAATGTTTATGAAGTTGCAAGTGGTTTCGTCAAACTTTACTGAGAACACCAGGGACTGTAGATTCTAGGCTACGTGGTGCAGAAACATTCCCACTTATATTCCTACCTTATGGGGGTAGTTTGAGCAGGCTCGCTGGATTCCTGTGTTGATGCCCTTCAGGCTGTCTTAAAAATGCAAAGCACTGGTGTAGGTGTGTTAAATTTAAAACGGTCCCTTAAGACAAACTCTAGGTTTCGGATCAAGGACACGAAGTTTCTTCTTAGTGTATCGGAGCAGTTAAATTATTTACACATTATCTGATCTGTGTTTATGGCATTCATCTGCCACAAGCGTTTTATACGATTTTTTTCTCATTCTTTATTCGCTTGCGATGTGTGATCGTCAAATAATCTGATATTGCTCGTAACATGTAGTAGCTGATCTCATTACCAGTTTAACAGTATCAGTCCAGTAGTTTAAGATGTTTTTACTAGTACTCAACTGTAGATAAAAAAGTACTATTATTTGTTAATTAGTGAACTAATTAATTAATGTCTGTTACACTTTAAAAATGTTTTCCTTCAGCTGAAATTCGAAAGGACACCTCAAGTCACTACCATATTGCATTGCTTTTGGGTGATGTAGCTGAACGTGTGAAGTTGTTGCGCAACTGTGGGCAGAGTAAGTAAAGTCTAATTTTTGTATTCATTTCGTTTCAAGCCACTGTGTACGGTAAAGTATTTTTCTTGACGTGATAATTCTTCCTGTTCAGTTTTAGGCTATCCATGTTCGCTACACACACACACACACCTACGCTCAAAATACTGCATCAAACAGACTATGCTATCTAGTGTTCTATACTGTTAACGTTATTGAATGTAGTTATTGAGCCTAGCCCTTAATATTTTTCAGTCACTGGTGGTAATCAATTTATGTGAGTAGCTTTCTTTTAAGTGAACTACGTCAATAAAAGTCCGGTTATTCTTTCAATATGGTAAAACACTTTATTTTTGCACAAATGAATGGTGATATATTTATTATTTTCATAACAATATATTGAGATCGATCTACGGATTATTCTCCGGTTGGATATTATATATATATATATATATATATCACTTGTTTTTCGTAGAGCTAACTGAGTTCATTTTAAGGTGTGTCATCTGTGTTTGTTATTAAAAGAATATAATGTAATGGGTTGTATTTGTGTTAAATATTATTAATATGTCGCTTCCCTTGATCATTAATCCCAGTTTTCATAAGACCACTAGTTTGTAATACGAGCAGCAATAAATCATCATGTTTAACTATCGCAATTATGTTAGTCAGTAATCAAAAAGTGTTAGATTCTCTCAGTCTAAGAGTCTCTGTGATGTCTGTGGGAGACAGAACAGAATACTTCAAAAAGCTGCGCTACAGATGTGAATGGTCATCTTACGATTGTTGTCTAAGCTTCATAGTCTGCGTCTATCTGAAATAATGCAACATAACAGGATTATTTTTCTCATGCACTTCTACGAAGTGTTTTTACTTCAACTGATACACTTTTGTTCAAGATATTACATTAGCTTCTGTGTTTGTATCCGTTTATTTTTTTAAGTGCGATAATAATAATAATTTGCTTTATTCCAAAACAACCGTGTAATCTAACTATTACATTGCGACTATTAGAAATTTCTCCCCTCTAGAGCTTCATATATGCTCGGTATAATTTGGAATTCAGCGTTTACAAGTGAAAAGATATCTAAGAAATGGTATTCGGGCATTCAGGATTATTATGTATTATTAAAGAACTAAACAGGGATTTTGACAATCAATGGGGAAATAATATTAATATGTGCAGATTATTTGCATTAAAAGTTTAGCGCTTATCCTTCCAATGCAGTGATCCTGGAATTGTTGTACACCATCCATTCGATAGATGAATGTCTTTCTGAATTTCCAAACTATGTTGAGAAATATTTTATACTTCGATGGAGATGATTTTAAGGATGCATAATCCAGAAGCTGTCTCAGTGTTTTGCTTGTGGCAACTGGATGTCTATGTTTTGTTTTACAGAAACTCAGCTGAGTGAATGTGTAATTAGTCAAAGTAACTTGAATAGTAGAACAAAACGCTGTAGTTCTTTTCAGCTCTCATTCAGTTTTCAACTAATAGAATTTTGGGGAACCCACTTGGTTTGCTAGTCTGTTACAATGAAACGCGCGTTGGTTTATTGATGTGACGATGTGTAGTGATAAATTTAATTTTTGAAATGTTCTATCTTTGGCAAGTTCTGACAGTAACCAGACGTTTTCCATATGCACTGCTTATGATCTCTCTCCTTAATGTATAACACTAAGTGTCGTCCATTTCAAACTAATACGTATCTCTGTTTTAGAACCACTCGCTTATCTGACTGCAGCCACTCATGGTCTCAATCAAGAAGCTAAAGAGTTAGAAGAGCAACTTTCATCATTGTCTTTACAATCAATGCCATCTGAAACAAACGCTTCGTTTTTACCGGAAATTGATCCAAATGCTAGTCTTATTATCCCTCCACCTCCGATCATCCGAGCGGATAAAGTTGCAGAAGGAATGAATGCTGAAACTGATTGGCCTCTACTTAGTGTACAGCTTGATTTCTTCGAAACTGCTATTGCTCAGCGTAGAAATGCTGCATTGAAATCCACAGAGAAAGGTGATGAACAAGATAGTAAACCAATCGGACCGTCAGTGGCCGCTGCAAGCTTGCTTTTAGATACAGAGGATGTCCCAGAGGGAGCCTGGGGAAGAGATGCAAATCTTGAGCTTGACGGTAATTTTGTTTTCTTGTTTCATCTTAAGCCTTGTTACCAAAAAATTATCCTTAATTTAAAGTTCATAATGTATACAACTCTACAAAATGCTTGGTACTAGACAGTTATTAAGCCACATAACTGTTCACTTGTAGACATCGGCTCACCCGTCCTTCAGTTGGAAGGAATTTAGGTTGTGAACAGTTTATCTTCCAAATTGATATTCTAATCTCTGATACGCTTCTCACTGGGACATTCCTTGATATAATGAAGTTGTTTCACTAGTGAGTGTGTTCAATCCAACGGTTCATTTAATCAAAGCATGAATTTCATAATGAATCATGAAGTTTTGAATATATATTTCTTCATCAACACCAACCTTTGACTAATTCCAAGATGGTGGACACCAACCAGATGCTTCAAGTTACGTCTGGAGTAATCTTCAAGTCTTCCAGTGTCTTTAAACTGCCACTTAATTATTCATCAATGAGGTAATAGACTTCATCTTCGTGTTCGGAATGGAACAGTATTTATTCGGAATTAAGATCCCATGGAAAGTAACTTTGGCTTTTTAATGGGAAGACTTTATATCGAGATAATTTAACTTTCCTGTACTGCTCGGTGTGAAATAGGTTGTTGTCGCCTCAAGTTTTGTAAACACAAATAAAGTGATCATTTAAAAATGTATTTCCATTTTACGCTTCATAATATTGCACATTTCTACTGCATAATATCGTACTCTGATAAAGTGGTTAGTCTCAATATAAATCTATTGGTATTTCCTTCTAATCAGAACCAGGGGAATTCGAAGATGCTCTGGAGGCTGGCGATACCGCAGATCTCTCTGGTATTGGGGATAAAAGTGCAGATGCTGGTGGTTGGGATATTAATGATGCAGACCTAGAATTACCATCTGATCTTCAAGGTACTGGAGCAATTTCCGCAGCAAAGACTGAAAATGCATTTGTTGCTCCATCACCTGGCCGACCTAATAGTCATCTATGGAGTGAAAATTCTAACTTACCAGCTGATCAAATAATGGCCGGCAATTGGGTAAATGCTATGCGACTTCTAAATGCCCAGGTAAATCTTTTTCTCTGAATTATACTGTTATAAATTGAAGACATTTTTCGTGTTTTTATATTGTCCTATTTAATGCCTTACTTTTTATGTCCATCATAGCTGGCGAGTCTTGAATATATGTCACCAGTTAACTTTTTATGTAGCACCGTGATGATGTTGGAAGCTGTCAAATCACCAGCATCTTCCCTATATCAAATAGAAATGTGGCTCATTGACTGTAACTTTTGATCTTCAGTCATTGGATCCATGATTCCAATCTCATTACACCTAATTTAGCCTAAACAGAATGTTAGCAGCACCAAACCCACCACAATAAATTTGCCTTGCAACCCTGTGCATAAAATATCTTTCTTAGGTAGCTTATTTTCGATTTCAACACTATAGTTTCAGATCGAAACCGCGATAAAACTTCCTCTTGGAGACTAGAATATATGACTGATCAAAACGATATACAAGGTTCATGTACTAATCAAGTATACCTGCTTTACAATGGCTAATGATAATGACTGTACAGTTTTCATCAAATTGAAGGTGTTACATTTCACGTTACTACTTCAAAATCAGTTGTCTGAATGTGCGAGGTTTGTAAACTAATATGAGTTTACGGTGATTGTAGTTTAACGGGTGGTTGAATGTATAGTGTTATTCACTAAATTAATTTACATATGTACATTCATCCTTTACTCATAAAATTAGTTATTCTACTGCTCTACGCCTTGCATTTTATATTATTTTTGTTTCTTTTTTCTGTTTCTCTTCAATGTTAAATCTACTGTTTGTACTTGTCGGAATTCTGGTAAAGTGGATTGAATATCCATTTGGAACTATTCGTCACTGTATGAATCAGTGTGATAGGCATGTGTATACGAATGGTATAACCCATTCTGGCGTTGATTTAGTGGACTGTCAATTTGATACACCGCTTAGTTTTTTTTATAGAAAAGTGTTTATGCAACCAAATGCTCATTACATTCATTTATACTTGCTTGTTTTAATTATTCTGTATAACTGAAATTCAGTGTAACTTTTACTATTCAACTAAAATATCTTACTGATTTAATCACTTTTTGTTTGTGTCTCTATATTGCTTTCAGGTTGGAGTTGTTAATTTTGAACCTTACAGAACACTTTTCATGAATTTGTATAGTGCTTCCCGTTCAATGGGTTTAGGCTTACCGTTAATACCCTCTCAATTTTTATATCCTCAGCGTAACTGGTAATTTTTTTATTGTTAACTTATTATTGATTTTTGTAAGCATTGTTAGCTGAGTTTCGTTTAAAAATTTGTTCACTCTTTCAGATACCTCGAGTGACATGTTTGCAATCCTAATTTCTGTCTGCTCACCGCGTTCTATTCTAGTAAACAGTTACTTTTCCCATCGAACATCAATATGAGTGTATCTATAAAAATCACATAACAACAAATACTTGTTACAAGATGAAAACTACTAATTTATACTTATCAATATGATATAAGTGCGTCGGTGGCATAGTGGCTAGGACGCTCACCGACCATGCAAATGGTCCGGAGTTCGATCCCCGGCCGACGCACTCCTTTACCTCGCTAAGCCAGAAATAATGCTGGTGAAGAGGAAAGGTTGAGCATGAGGCTAGCAACCCCATCCTGTAAAATAAGCACTGCTACAGAAACTTCAAGCCACTAGCTTGAAGCCCTATGTTCCACTGGGGAACGTGAAGGAAAAAAAATATGATATGAACAAAGATTCACACAAACAAAATAGTAAAATAAATATTTGGTCAGCAAACTTCTATAAATATGGGAAATATTCTGCGACACTGCACAGTTAGAAAGAAAGCGCTGTCGTCTACCTTTACACATTACCTTAGTAATAATCTATATGATAATTCCGAAGCCAACAAAACTTCCCTTAAGACTGTTTCGCAGGTTGTCCGCAATTCCTCAACTGTGTTTAAACTCCACATTTGTATTATATAAATTTGTCAGACTATGGATATGTGTGTTATAATTGTATTTTCCTATATATTATCTATACAAATAGTGTATATCTACTTGATGTTTTCTTTCATTTGTTATACCCTAAATATTAGGAAAAAGATTTCACCAACATCTGCTGCACCAGCTCCTGTAATTAATTTGAGTGAGCTCATAACACGTCTGCAAACAGCTTATCAATTAACAACCAAAGGCAAATTTCAAGATGCAATCAATCGATTCAGAACAATCTTATTATCAGTGCCATTATTAGTTGTTCATTCGCCATCTGAAGAAGCTGAGGCAAAAAGCCTGATCAATATATGCAGGGAATATATTGTTGGCTTGTCAATGGAAATGACACGTAAATCTATGCCCAAGGATACGCTACCTGATCAGGTAAATAATTATTCTCACTGAATTTTTGTTATTGTGTGATCGGCACTGAACTGTTGTTTAGGCTAGTTTGAAATACACAATAATAACGTGGTTGTATGCAACAGACAAGGAAGCTCACAGCCTAGGTCGTGTTGCATCTGCATCAAGGATGAAAATGTGAAACTTTGTAAATATGTATACATTTTAAACATGACAAGTCTTCGTAACCCACTAAATTAAATTTTGTGTACTTAACACAAAATCAACATTCTGATTCATCGATGCCTTCCATAAAACCTAAAGCCATAGGTATAAATTCAGTCTCATTGAAGAAGTGTATCATTGAAATCTCAAGACAAATATATCTAAATATTGTAATCAACCAACATGCAAGTAAGTCATCAAAATTGATTGGTATGCAGGATAAGGTAGACATTGGCTTTATTGGTCAAATGGCAAACAGGTCTTTCATCTCCCAGGCTATCAGCTCAACTCAGTGTAAAAGGGCTGATGTCACTACTCAACTGTGGCGGGAATTGAAACTAGGAGCCATTGGCTAAATATCGGGTGATTCAAATAATAAGTCACGTCTCCATTATTGATCAGGAAACGTAGCCTGGTCTTTGTTGTAATAGTTGTTTTTTTTATGACACTTATATAGTTATTTTTATTGTAACCCTTCTAATATATCTTATAGATTCGAAACGCTGAATTAGCATGTTACTTCACACATTGCCGTTTGGAAACACCTCATCTTATTTTGACTTTAAGAACAGCCTTAAATTTGTTGTATAAACTTAAAAACTTCCGTTCTGCTGCTGCTATGGCGAGACGATTGCTAGACCTTGCTCCGTCAATGGATGTCGCTCAACAGACTCGTAAAATTTTACAAGCATGTGAAGTAGCAACGCCAAATGAAGATTCTCATACCCTCAGTTATGATCCTTTAAATCCCTTCGAAATTTGTGCTGCCACTTATGTTCCTATTTATAGGTGAGTAACTAACTTCAAAAAAAGTAATCTCGTTAATATTTTGGTTATTTGATAACATTTTGTAGTTTTCACTTGTTTCATGTAAGTTGACTATCAAGGATATGTATCACCTGTGTTTTATAAGTCGTCTAGTCGTGTGATACTTCCCAAGGTTCATTGTGCTGAGTATTGTTGGTTTCAATGTTGTCTTGAACACTTAATTTATAACAAAGTATTTATGCTATTCAATTTCTTCATTTTACAGAGGTAAAGATTCGGTTCGTGATCCTTTAAGTGGAGCTTATTATGTATCATCTATGAAAGGTCAGCTTTGTCGTGTTACTGGGGTAAGTTTATACCAATTTTCTATGCATAAACAAACGTATATTTTATTTTGTTTCTTTGAAAAAAAATGCTTATACTGATTTATAAAAGATTTCCATTTCCATGCATACCATGAAGTCAATTCCTTCTTTTCTAGTATACTAGTTAGCTTTTCAAATCTTTATTTATTTTTGTACAGGTAACTGAAATCGGCGCTGAACACCAAGGATTAGTAATTCGATCTAGTCGTTCCTAAAACGAGTTCAATCAGGAGACAATACCTGTAGGAGGATTAATAAATTATGGTTCATCATTACAATTATTTTGTATGATGGGAAACTTTGGGGGGGGGGCTATTCTATGTGCTGTGATTTTTCCTTTCTCTTTTACTTTTGTTTTGTCACTCTTTTATCAGTAATAATAGTAATAAAAAAATGTGAAATTACTTTTGTTTGGTACACTTATCAATAATAAACATATACTTCTTGTTAATTTAATTTTGTAAAATTCATTTGCCTGACTCAGTGTATGCGAGTTCTCATTCTCTGTTCTCGTAGCCAGCGATAAATGATGAATAATTGTTATACTGCATGATGAAAAGTATAAGATGTAATCACCGAAAAATCTAAAACGATTACCTTCCCTTGTAAAATTTCAACGAAACGATAGGAATACTCCTGAATCTCAATCGCTTATATGTACTTGCGCAAAACTTTTCGAACAATCTAATCACATGTATATAGTTATCATAGTATTCTATCTGAAAAATAGCTTGAAATAATGCAAGGTATTTCAGAAGTTGAAGTACACTGTAGTTTTAGACCAGAGGCAGCCTTCGCAACCTCAGTTAACTTTGAATGGTGCATTTCAATGTAGCATGCAGGAATTTATTATTAGTGTCCCCTTAGGTTCCGAATGCAAAACAGGGTTTCACCACCCCGCTTTGTTCTGTCATTTGAGGTCCTGTTTAGCTAGCCCACAGGATTGTTCATAGTCCCTCATCTCCTTGCACAATCTCCTTCATGTCACTTGGACGCACCAGTCGTTGTTTCCTATTGGGGTTCCATTTCGGGGCCTGGCGTGCGATGCCATTCAACGGTCTCCGCAGCGTGTGCCCAATTCATCTCCTATATATTTGTTTAGTAATAAGTTCTTGGTTGGCTCTTTCCAAGAGTTTCTTGTTGCTAATTCTTTCTGGCAGTATGGAGTGAAGACATGCAACCCGTTGGAAATGGTTTTTGTGAAGCGCGTGTCAAGTTTCTGACCCATATGGAAGAAGTGGCTTAAAATTGGTGTTGAAAATCTGAATCTTGTTCCGTATTCTGAGTGCAGAGGATTTCCAAACTGATTTGAAGATGTATCATGCCCTTCTGGTTTTGACGTCCTAATCGGTGTCGCCTTTAGTTGGAACGATGCTTCCTAGATAAGTGAAGGAAGTGACCCCTTTTTAAACTCCTCCGTTGGTAGGGATTGGTGCTGGCTGTTGTTGGTTGCTATTGGTGACTCTAAACCACAGCAGACCAAAACGAAATTACTATGACAGTCCTCTATCGGCTAGTCAGACGCGTCTGAAGCAGAGTTGTGTAGTTTGAAGCAGACGTTTATACCTGAGTAATGCAACGTTAAAAGTAGTTACATAGAATGAGCTTTTTGTATGTTTTCCGAGAAAAGCTTTCAATTTCTCATAGTTGGGTTGAATCGATTTCGAGGCGTAAATTCGTCCAGATAACTGTATATCATCGTGTTTCTTGACCCTCTTTTTTTAGGTGACTGCAGGAACTTCCGATGTAGTTTGTGTGGGTCCGATTGAAAGGCATAACAAAATCGTCCGTATTATTGACCACGTTATGAATATAGTCCATGAATGATAGCTGGCTACAAATTTACTCCATTTCAATGAGCCTATGGTTCAAGCAGTAATTAAATACTAGATTTGGATGAAATTTGGTATAAAAATAGTGTGCAGCACCCATAATTATGCCTATTATGTATTACAGACTCATCTGACTGGTTGCTCAAGGTCATTAATCCGTTCACTAGATAATTTCGTTGGAGGTTGCTATAGTTTAGAATCACCTGGTTGTCTTCACCACCTCCGTTTACTTGAATTCCTATCTTCGCTGCCTCTTCTGTCAACTTGTTGGTTTCGCCTGTAAGTCTTGGAGTTTGTGTGACATCAGGCAAAAGTTATCCTCGAAACCCGGATTTTCTGGAGCCTTCTTATCGATTCAATGTGTTCCTGTCTTCTCGCCCCTACTATCATCGATGATGGTAGTCAGACAATCTTGTCTTACTCCTGTATCTACTTTAAAGGCTTCGTTGTGTTTTTCCTTGTGGATCACCTGAAATGCAGCATCGTCATATAGCTGTTGGATATGGTTGATAAAGTGACACCATAGTGTTGAAGCAGTTGCCGATTTACTTGGTGGTCAACACTATCGAAGACTTTTGAAAGTCAGTGAAATCGAGGTAAATGTTTGACTGTCATTCTGTGCTTTATTCGATGATGATGCGTAAAGTTACAATTTGATGAGCACATGGTTTGGTTTTCCGTAATCCAGCTTGTTACGGTTGGATGGAGTTCTGTATGCAGTGCATCTTTTATTCTCCAGGATGGGGTGACTTAGTGTTTAACATGGCGTGGACAAGAGAATTTTTGCACTCCAGTTCTTGTAGAGTGAGGCTTAAGTCGCCATTCTTTGTTAGTTTAACAAGGTGCTCCAATCAATAAATATCTTTTCTTCCTTCCAAACAATTTGCAACAGTGGCGCCAGCATATCCGTTGCGGTTTCTGGATACATTTTCAGTGCTTCAGGGGGATTCCGTCTGGTAGTAACGCCTTCCCTGACTTCAGTAGCTTGGTCACATTCAAGATTTCTGCTTTCGTTGGAGTATTGGTGTCCACTGACAGGCAATTCTGTGCGTGCTGTTGGTGGTGGTACTTCCAGTCAAGTTGGAGCTTGTGGTCAATTCAAGAGTCATTTGAGGGAATCGTCTAATCGTTTTCCTTGTTTGTCAAATAGGTTCCTTTTACCAACTTCTGTCGTTTTCATCTGTATTGATCTCTTCCCAGATAGAGACCTGGTTACCTGATACGATGTGTTAGGTCTCTTTTACCTTCGGCTTGTCTGTTCCACTTCAGTTGCCGGATTGTCGTAAAATTGTCTTTTGTCTGTCTTGGCACTCTTCTTTATTCAGTGCGATGTACACAAGACTCAGCTTCTCTCTCTATTGTCCATCTTTGCACTGAGTCATCTCTTTCACCATCCATCTCTCCTCGATTAGCTTCCAGGTAGGTGTCCGCTGAGAGCCATTGCTTGTCTTGCCTCTTTTGTCTTACTAAGATGGCTGTGCATGTTCTCTTGAATATCACTTTCAGATAGTCTCAGTGTCCTTTACAGCTTTTTTCGGTGATGCTGCATGGTGTCTCCTGCTCTGCTCTGGTGGCTGCAGTGTAAGTCTCCTTTATTGTTTCGTCCTTCAGTTTCTGAGTGTTGAACTTGAATTGTGGTCCTCTCCAGTTGTTTTGAAGACTTTCAGCTTGACATTGTAGGTTATTTAAACTGGTTTAGAATGCCTACAGACATTGGTACTGATGAGAATTGAACAGCACTCTTTCCCTATATATCATGTGCAGTTTTCAAAGAGTTGTTTTGCATTTTACTATTACTTATATTACCTACTTATAACTTGTCATATTCCTGACAAATTTAAGTGGGACATAAGGCAGTTGTAAGAAGTCAAACCAACTGGTCCCCAAAAGACTTAAACTCTTAAGTTGACATAACAAATTAATCCCATGGTACGGAAGGACACACATCACTGAAGCTGACCAGATAGTTCAGGGTAGCTATCATTCTAGCTGACTGCAGTTCGACAAACGTTTTCAGAGACAAGTCTGTTGATGTCACTTCAAAAAATTTCAGAAATGATAGTAATGTCAGACGCAGTATCTAATTGTAATTGTGAACAACAGCTGTTTATTTGAATGTTAATATATTTTATCTGACGCGTTAAAAGTATGCTCACAGACCATGCGAACAGTTTAGAACTCATAACGCTATAGATTTATATCGAATTTTATTTCAGATTTCTAATGGCTTGTGCGCGCTGCCTCCAATCATCGAGGCAGCAAACTCTAAGAGTCCTCCGTTCTCACTGATTTTACCAAACGACTCTCAACCCATGAGGAATTCTCTCCCAGTGTCATCTGTTGCCAATTTGACTAGCGTTCATCCCAACCACTAAAAATTAAGTTTCGCCATCCGCCTTGGATCATGTTTGTTACAAACTGTAGTTGTCGGCAAAAGTTCTCCTTCTTCTTTCAGTCTGCGTTGTTTTTAGTTATACAGCATGGGATAATTGAAACGTTCCCTCTTTCTGAGTAGAACCTTCGTATCATGGTTTGGCAGGAGACTGCTTCCTGCTGCACAAAACCTGTTGATGCTGTTAGTGACGCCATGATGGTTACACCATCAGTGTTCTCATGGTGATTGTCTATCTGACCGAAGTAGGTTAGTGACTTTGAAGCTACCAATTTTCTGAGTCTATTTCCATTCAATCTGCTTTCAAAGATTCCTAATATTTACACAAGATATCATCGCATTTCTTCTGCAGTCTCAGAAGCCTTGCCAACATCAAAGATGGTGATGTCATTCTATGCACCTGTGCTCATCTCTGATTTCATCGACCGGCTTCCTGAAGGCTTTCACGAAACGGTGTCATCCGTGTCATCCAACTTGAGGGAGAATAAGCTTATATTTTTTTTCTTTGAGATGCCAGTAGTGCTTGGGTTGTTTTTTGTGGGCCTGTTTTCCTATTCCTATGTTCAGTCTCCTCTGTTTTCTTGATTTGGTTCGGCTAGGCGAGTTTGATAGTGATCATTACTCAACCTTGATATAAAAGGTGTCATTCAGAAGGATCCACACCATCTCTACTAGATAAGACATTTAAATAAATTTTGATGGAATATATATCAGGTATTAACAAGACTTTTTATGCATTATATTGGTAGCATCTGCAAGAATCTAAATACCGGATCCTACTGAAGGTAGCTGAACTACAGCATGCTAGTTTGGACTTCATAAGAATAGTTCATGCAGCAGAATTTAAGGAGGGATTTGAATGGGTAATGCCATTGGGTAGGTCAGGCATACGATCAGTGAACTCGCCTCTGCGAAAAGTGAACCCTATATTATTCAATCGCTTGATTTGTTTAGGCACTCGTTTACAAAAATCATAAAAGGAAACACTCAATAATATTGCCATCGAGACGTCATGTTGAAAAATTAATTTTTAGACACTGACGCAATACATACGGGCATAGGTGTGCTGCACAGGTACTCACAATAGTCTGAGGAGAGTTTCTGATATTAACTGGTGTAGTAGTGGGAAAGCCCGCCGGAAACTTTATGCTCTGTCACACAAGAAATATCAAGTCAGAGCGCCAGGTGATGGCACTCCTGCTGACAGCAAGAATTGACATGGACAGTCTGTCTCTTCAACAGAAGTTGACTTAATTTGACCGATCATGGTGGTGTTAGGTAGGAGGTCTGAACGGTGTCATGGGATAATTACACTTGTTTTTAAATTAATGTGGCACCAGCAAAAACATTTCATTGGTTACAGGATTTCATCATGAGCTGACATTAGTTAGAGAACCATTGGAAAGCCTGGGAGTACTGTACAGCTGTTTCGTCCTAGTTTGGGACTCTTCATCAGCGCGCAGCCACCGAGATTCGAACCCAGGACCTTCTGGTTACAAAGCGAGCCCGTAGACCATTAAGCCACTGGTCTTTTTCACAATAGGATCCGTAGAAATCTTCACTGAATGTCTGCAACTCATATTAAAGCGGTGTGCGGAGAACTAGGACTGCTGAGAACTGTATTGACCAAAATCGAATCGTTATAGTCTGAAAGCAAAATGCCCTACTATACAGCTAGTAAAACATCCTTGAGATATGCGCAGTCAGGAAACGCCCCAAAGATAGGAAAAAGACGACTGACAGGAGGAAACAATAGACACCAAAGTCAAATGACCTTGATTTGACCAATCAGATAGCTCAGCATTACATATGGTTGCTAGACATAATCCCTGTTGAAAATGTCTCCTACATTTGGTTTTTGACTTCTTTGTGGAAAATGTGTTGATAGGAAGGAATAAAACATGCATATGTGGAGGGATGATGACTCTGCAAAAGTATTGCTGAGCTATTGTTGATTATACATTCGGATGCAACCACTTTATATGAGGTCTGTATAAGTTGGTAAGTCGTACGTAATTGGTGATTTTTTAGACACTTTCTTCTCGAAATCAAAGCTCTCCCTAAGTAATATATCGCGTATACTTGACCAGTTTCTGTTACACTTACAGAAATAGAAAATACATTGGTTTGAAATGATATAACCACTTCTATGAGAAACTTGGAGCCAGCTTTCGCAGCATATTAGAGGTGTGTACTCTGTATGATTCATTTTACTACGTATATATCATAGACTTTTTTATAAATTAATTACCACTTTTCACCTTGAGGAGTCTGAATCACTGTTTCTAGGTCATTTGACATTAGTGTCTATTGTTTACTCTTGCTAGACGATTATTCCGGAATAATTCTGCAATTCTACTGGACGATAATAACTTCAAAATTACCTCAACAGTGATCTTAGGTAGCTATGCACAGTCTATGAACAAACCGAGCTCTTAGAATTAAGTAAAATATTAACGGAAGAGTGGGAACAAAAACCTGTCCTCAAAAATCACACCTATTCTTCCAGAGGCCAGTTCGAGGTGAGAAATGGCCTTCATTCACTCAGACAAAACTAGATTATACAACGCATTTTCTGTGTACATACAATCGTGAAGAGCAGGATAAAAATTAGAGATCAGATAAACACGAAGACAAGTAACAAGGATCAAGTCAACATTTGATATTTCCAAATGTCAGTTTTTTCTCTCATATGTACCTATCTATCTGGTAAGAATTAAGACAGCGTGAAAAATCTGGGTTTGCGCTGGAAGTTGAACAGGAAATTGTCGCTCATTTCAATGAATGGCCTCAAGAAAGATGATGTTGTTAGAGTAACAGAGACATCACTTAGTTCAGAGAGTTTTACTTGTACTGGTGCAACCAGTGGCATTGTTGCTCCCGATAACAGCTTAGGTGACGGTGATAGCAGCAACAACAACAGCAATAATATTGGTAATAATAAAAACAGCTAACATAATAATTAAATGGAATCTAGTAATCACTCATCACAGACACTTATTACTGGGAAACCAGGAAGTGAAAAATCTGTCAGCATAAGCCAGTGAATTTACACAGATTGCTTGTAGAATGTGAAGATACAGTGATGCATCGTCAGTGTTAGTTGTCACACAGGAAAGCGGTGATAGATCAGTTGACAGGAGGAAATTTCATTCTGATTTCAGATTACCATTATTCTTATTACTATCACCACCACTATCAATAAGACATATAACGAAAACCACCTTTGGAATCCCCTTATGAAGTAATCATTAATACTGTTTATATTTTGATGAGTCTCAAAATACGAATATTTACAAAAACGAAGGAATATGATATTATTATTATTATAAGTATTGATGCATAATAACATTTATTTGTAGACTTTTTCCAGCGTATGTTTACCAGCCAAATATGAACTCCATGATCAAACTGCCGTATCACTGCCTTCGTTTTGTTGGTGAATTGATAAATCCTGGACTTTCCGGCTTCTGTTTTATTATCAGTCACACTGAAGTTTGGTCAGTTAGTGAGTACCTACTGGTGACATGAGCTTCGGATAATTATCTTTTGACAACATCAAATATTCTTGATGGCTTTACTGACACTTTCTAAAACACTATAAGTGTGGTATAATAAACTTCCACTCTGCAAAAGATGTGATGCGCTAATTTTGATCAACACGAACCACCATCAGCATTCTGCATATTCAGACGCATTGCGCACTCTTCACTGATAGCGACTAGCCTCTGGATGGAAGTAGTGCAATTCCTAATATTAGCGACGATTATGAGCTTCACATATTTTGCATACAGTGCGTTCTGAGCCACTTCCCGCTGCAGGATCATTGTATGCGTATCAAATCGATTCTGACCTATGACACAATTCCCTGAGCGGCTGCAGGGGCGTTTTCGCAAGTTAACACACTTCAAGACAACTGGAAGACTTTGGCTGAGTGCTTTAAACCTAACAGAATTTCGTTCACTTACACTAATTCCTTAATCAGTGACCAACAGAAGACTGGTAAGTACGCTTCGGATAACGTCTGTCAGCTAAGACGGACTACGAAATTCACCTTCCCTACTCTACCAGAGGTAAATGTATCTGCCCACGTTCCATCCAACGTCCCCTAGCACACAACTCAAAATCTCACTTGTTTCTCACACCAGTGCAATATGTGCCCAAGGCACAAGTGGCAGCAAAGAGACAGTCTTACTTCAACGTCTGTGTGATAACAACCTCAGGTTGAGAGAGTTCATATATCACTTTTTACGGAAGTCTGCCGCATTTCCGGGACATAAAATTACACCAAAAGTAATTCGTACCAGCAGAAGTGAGGTCTACTTCCTTCTGAACAGGCCTCTTTCATAGTAATGTAATACAGTTTTTGAGGACAAAGTTTACCAGTAACTGATTGGTCTAAAGATATCTTTGTTTAATATAATCACGATTGTACAGCTCATGAAAATGAATCGTCAAAAAGAAAATTTTCTTCGCTGTTTACGCCTTTTTCTTATGACTCAATATAGGGATATTTCGTTCAGTTTTGATATCCATAGGTGACGCATAAGTCTCTATTTGCTTAGATGTCTATTCATGACTGTTACTTCTTTGATAGATGAACTTTTAGAAAGCGATTTAGTGCGGCCAAAACCATGAGAAATGGAGTGACTTATGGTTATACTATTAAGTAGTAATCATGTATAATAAGTAATGGAGAAATGGTAACAGCTTAGCCCTTGAAATGACTATTTATTGATTGTAATAATCAATTATTAATAATAAGCCAGATAACCAGTATCAGTTTAGAGAATTGCGGAAATGCTAAAATTACATCAAGGAATAAAGGTAGTAGTTACAAGATGCAGACGTGCTGGGGGTATTTTCACAGTAATAGTGAAGATAATCTGGTTAAAATAATAACTGTCATTTTCATTCAGAAGCAATGTGTATTATTATTACAATCATCTGAAACAACTAGGACTGTCAAATATATAACAAATAAATTGACTGTCAGATTTCAAAAGCCTATTGGATAATTTAACGTTAAAAAGATATAGGTAGTAAGTTTACACTGTTGCTTCTGGGATCTGCAAAATGCATATAAAGAATAACATTTTCAGAGTTAAAATTACAATTATTATAAGGACTGCAGTAATCCTGTATACAACCGACCTCACTCTCTTTTAGTGACTCTAAAAGCAGGTCCATGTCCTGGAACAATATAGTCGACCGTATCAAAAATGTGTTTCCGGTTTTTCTCTTGTACAGTTACGTTACTACTAGATGACTGCCACAAAAATGATTCATTTATGTCTTCTTCACATTCGTAGAGATCACCCACTATCGCCAGACGACCAAAGAAGTCGACATTTTCGACAATCACTGATACATCGGTATGGGTGTGACCTGGAGTAGATACCACATGAACATAAGAATCTATTTCAAATGGAATTTTAATTATAGAAAAGCAGTCTTTATGCTCTGGCATCTCGAAAGTGTTCCCAATAATGCGTGTAGCGTTTGGAAATAGGTGCAGACTTCCAATATGATCAATATGTTCATGCGTGCAAATGACATAATCAATGTCGGAAAGATTTATGCCGCGATCCTTTAATCGAGAAGAAAGCAGTTTTGAGTCCCATGGGCTACCTGGATCCACAAGTATAAGCTTAGGCCCTTTGAGTAAAGATATAGTGCATGCAGACGTGAAGTGATCATCTGAAACTGGTTTTGTCCATCCAATACGAATAAAATCAACCGTATAGTTCATTGGGTATATAAATTAGACTCTGATTCACATGCGGGGATACACAGGAACTGAATTGTAGAAACTCACTGAAAATTACAAAAGCAAATAAGCAATTAGTAGATAAATATCTTCAGTGTGAAAAGGTTGGCACCGATCGACCAACCACAGCACCATTCGAAAAATAGATGAAAATGAAAAATTAGCCCAAGTAAAATAGCCCTAAACAAGATAGAGGTCACCATTTAGGTATTCTAAAATTCAATGCAGAAACGTAGTGAGCTACACTACAACGTTAACCGACAGTTTCCGTTTGCAGAAGCAGAATGTCTTTTTGTTACGAGCATGGGAATCTGTCTCAATATATCGAGAAGAACAAGTGTCAGTGACATTTTATGACATCTACTAAATTTATTATGTAGGAAGTTCTTTCACTACATACACCAAAGCAACTGTTAGGGCGGGACAGAAAGAACACACTCGAATCCAGTATTGTTATCAACTAAAACGTCTAGGTATTCAAAATAAAGTGGGTGATGAAGGACGACAGACTTCAGTGTCAGCAATGCTGCAGCGCATATGGAGTGTGAGAGATGAGTAGAGTTAATAGACTCTTAGTAATATGAATACGAATGCACATTATGAATCTAATCGTTTGTTTCGAGTTACCCTGATATCTTCGCCAGTAATATTCCGAACTTTGAAAAGTACCAAATTGAATAATAAAGTTATGAGAGGACAAAACACAAATAAATGCATATTAACAAAATGCTAAATAGAGTGCAATTATTCAGAGGTCTTTTAATCAGTTTTGAATATCACTTTTCATATCAGATAAGTTTATTTGATATAATACGCAGAAATACAGTAGTAATAACTGAATTCTACAATTACATTAATATCACCTTTGACTGTCACAAATTAGTTCCTAATACCTAGGTTAACATTGCAAAGTAGAGTCAAAAATCGCCAGTTTAGTAATCCCAGGAATTGATGGAGATAGTCTTATATGTGAAGCCATACTTGGAGGATGCCAAAGAAAGTTCTACCGGGACAGCCTTGCTCAGAATTTAATAGGAACTATAGGGCAGATACAAACCAAGCTCCAAACACCTAAATCGTTATTAGCAGAAAATTCATAACATACGTTTGTTAGCGTCAATAGTCATGTCAAAACCATTCAGAAGAATACTAAACACATTTATACTCCTATAAACGACTAAATATCACGCCTCAGTCACGATTATATTGGTAATGCACCAATATTCCAAAAATAATTTGCTCAAACCTTCGACAGATGTATTCAGATTGTGCGCTCTGTTAGTACGTTCAAATGGAACTACTTTCTGCAATCCTTATATCGCTAATAAGCTATGTTCCTGAATACTATCGTCATAAAATTAGCCACTCTATTGGTATTAGATTGAATTATCACCTTGATTTTATCACTCAAGGAATCTATAATGAAAGTAATTATCAGAATTCAACGTAAACAATAGCTCTCACCCCAAGGTGCACTATAGAATACTCAAGTTAGTTTAGTATTCTAGTTTTGAAATGTTATCAGACTGAGTGCATAAAATCCACCGTCTCCAACATATATATTTCGGTGGTTGATGCTACAATTGAATCATGAGTAAATTGCTACATAAAATTAGTGACTGACAACTGTTGGACAATTATGCATGAAACAGGACGTTAAGTACACCGAACTTTATCATTGCGCACACACAAACAACGTTGTGGGATTAGCGAAGTAAGAAGCTGACTTCCTATGATAAACTGAATCCATTTTATCAAGTTTGACTTTTAGTAGGATGTAACATTAAATATCAACTTTCGGACCGAAAATAAGTTTAAAATCCCTGATACGTAACAGATGGCCAGAAGAATTAGAATCAACACCTTTTTAAACCTTCTAAATCCACATTCTCTACCTCCCATGTCAAATGAGATAGCTTCAGTGGCCTAATTTTTCTCATCTTCACACCATGATGAGTTTTATAACTATTCACTCGGATGGTTTAGTGCATTTCTAAAATCCACTCTTCGTCGTATTGGTAGTTGATGGATATTTTGTGGAAAGTGGGGTAGTAAAGAAATCCAGTCTGAGAGAGCAACGAACTTATCTAAACTGGATTCCAATTGGCCATCCCTACTGTGCTGTTCACTAAGATGTGTCTCATTTAATCTGAACAGATTTTTCGCATCGCAGTCGACAAGTTATACATCGTGTGAAGAGAGATGACACTTTAGCGAATTTCCTATGGCTCTGCGTGATACGTGTTGTTTCCAAAAACATCTTAATAGTTTTTAGCTTCCCCAAATACGGCTGATACACCTTTTACTAGACAGTGTAAAATCAGGAGACAAGAATAAGATAGGACGAATTTTTATTCATGCCGAAATTCTAGGAGAGAAAAATGTATGTAGATAAAATTTGAAGAAGGCAACATCTAATAATTAACAGGAGTAGCATTCATAATAATTACATTAATGATTTCATTTTGAAATCTTAATAGCCACGAATTTTCAGTTTGCTCTTACACTTGTTTTAGTCGTACTTAAGTCACACAAACTTCGCTTTCCTGATGATCAGCGACCAGGCCGAAAATACACCTTAAACACCAAAATGAGGAAGCAGACAGATGACCTGCAGCGCACGAAACATACAAAAAGGAGATTTTCACATGTAAATATATATATGAACGAAAATAATGAACAAAAAGGATACCTTTCTTTCAGCATGTGACTAAAATGCCGCTCTGTCTTGGGTTGGAGTGTCAATATAGTATTTATTCAACATTCTATTCATGTTATCATCTTGGTCTCTCAAGTTTCACCCTAACCTTATTTTTTTTAAAATTTAATCCTAACGCAAACCCATGATCTAACTCAAACCCAGGCTTACAACAATTCTAAACTTATTCTAACCTACTCTTCAATAATGCCTTTTTATGGTTAATGAAGATTTTATCTACTCACTATGTTCTGAAATAACGCTGGTCGTGTTTACAAAGAGAGCTGGGTGCTGAATTAAGTCTTTTTGTTCTGAAGTAAAGCTAATCCGTGTTTAATATGTCCTGTGAGTGCTGGAACAACGCTGATAAGCAAACCCAGTAGGTTCTGATTTACTCCTGAAAATGCCTAGAAAAAGAACATGGTGCTGAATTAGTGCCATTCACGCTGAAAACCAGCACTGAGTTCTGGTCTGTGCCATTAAGGAATCCATTTCAGAACAGATTCAGAATGTTAGAATTATTTCAGAATTAGTGAGATTTAATTTAGCAATATAGTAAGCTCAGGAATTAAACGTGATATCTCCCCTATGAGGTTAACCCAACCCTAACCTGTCTTCAGTCTAAACCTTTCTTTCAACCTAACCCAAACTTACCAGCTATCCCGTTTAATACCACAACATTATATTGAGAATATTTTCATATTACCGAAAATACCCATTGAGTCATGAAGAAAATAAAAGACAGATTCAGCGAAGAAAATTTTCTTTATCGACGAAATCATCTTCAGAGGCTGTACAATCGTATTTATACTCACAAAAATATATAGTGGTCTATTATTGAGTAATAGGGGGTGACGTAATTGATATAATTGCTCAGAAGTGACTTTAGAAGCCTCTGAAGATGATTTCGTCGATAAAGAAAATTTTCTTCGCTGAATCTATCTTTTATTTTCACATTAGTTTGTTTATTAGATATATCACACAGTGAAACAGTATCCAGTAAATAACACTGCTTCACCGTGTGATATATCTAATAAACAAACTAATATGGAATTACTTACGACCACAGTGCCCAAGTTTTACACATATATTGAGAATATTTTATTCATGATTATGTCATTCACTTGGTTTCACTAGCATACTGACTTAGATTTTCAGGGTCACTGGTGCTGTTGCACTCTGTTGGTACTTACTTGTGCTTAAAATTTAACTTCACCATGAATAGTTTTCATGCACCTCCGTCAAAAAATCTGTTCATCAACTCAAAACTAGATCCAAATAAATACTATCTTTAAAAAGTCCTGAACGTACCACCAATTGTGTTTGGCAGCTTTTGTCGTATGTTTTAAATCTCACAACCCACTAGTAATTGTAAATATTACAACCCCTACGTCTTTACTTACTGTCACCTCTTTAAAACGCATCCTTTTGCAGCTCCCGCGTAAAAGTGACAAGTATATGTATCCAATATCCAATATCCTGATTACGAGCTAGTATAAACCAGCGATTTCTTTGAGCTCCCTTCTTGATTATAAGGTAGAGGTTCCAGATCTTCGGTGAACTTATGCGTAGTAAATCCCGCCACTCTACTGCTTTAGCTCTGGTAGACTCCAAAAGGAGTGGTGCGAGGACTGGTCAAGATTGTGGTTTGTAGTGTGCAGTATGTTAGGACTCAGCTGCTGCCGTGAATGAAGTTTGAGCTAACACCCGTTGGTCATTCGGCGTAGTCATAAAAGTAGAATAATAATAGTAATAATAGGCTGTAATGTAGATAATATAAGTTGAGATAAGTGAAAAAATAAAGGTGAAATTGTAGTGACCCGTCTTATTAATCATCATCGCAGTATACTTTCACTATGCAATTGTACTTTGATTTGTTTATTACTCTAAATCTTGCATGTTAACAATTGATACCTTTTGTGCTCGCTCGATTTTTGAATTGTTGATTGCTGCAATAATACACTATCGTATTCCTTCGCAAGTGCCTTTTGAATTACGTTGCGGATGTCGAGTAATCGCAACGTTAGGGCACAATCATAAACGCGAAGAAATACTAGAAGATACGTGTACGCCAGTTTAATCAAAATTCAGCACCAACAAATTGGCGAGCCCGACAGAGCTGATTGATGGACTACATTATTTCGAAGTATACACAGTGGAATAAATCATCTTTGCCATCGCATTAACTTTTATAACTTCATAACATTTGGATGTATAATTACTGATATTTCTGCTAAAAGTACCTCCGGACCTGGCGGCACAGCGACTGCTATCCCAGTTCACCCTGATACTCAAGCAACTGTAGCAGCTGGCTGTTATGCAACACCTCAATTCCAGTTCTCTGTCCTCAAGCTTCAGCATTGTCTACAGGTGTGCAAACACTTACAATGGTCTGCAACTCCATTTACTCAAGCCGGTCCTACAGCTGTTCAATTACAACAGTTTACCCAATCACCTCAACAACAACAGATTCAAGCACAAGCTCATCAGTTACAACCAGCTCAGCAGCAAACTTATATCCAACAACATCAGCAACAACCAACAATGATGGCAACTGACGTCTCTGTCAGTGGTCAACCTGGTACTGTAGCTGCATGCTCCGATGTTACTCCCCAGTTTATCACTCTGGCACCAGGAGCTCCATTAAAAGTCATGGCTGTTGGTCCTAACGGTCAGTTGATTCAAATCACTGGTATACCACAGTTTATGCCCACTGCTTCTGCTGGAATGCCTATCAATCAACCAACTTCTACTCTCCAACCTCAGCAAACATCAATTCAAGTTACCCCTCAACGCCGAGTAACAACACCCCAGCAACAACAACAACATACTGACGGACGTTCACTTTCAACCGTATCAGCAGCAGCTACTGCTGCACTCTTCTCTGGCACAGCCATCTCTTCTTGTACAATTCCACTTGTACAACCAGCTTTCATGGAAATAGAGGTAACTGAATGTTTACCCAAGTCATTTCCATACTACCTTATTACGGTACTATTAACTGTATGTTAAGATATAAATCTATTCTGTAACTCCTTACAATTACAACCCCATTATTATTCTAATAATTTTTCTGCTTTTATTGTTACATGTTGCACAACTTTCTAAACATTTTAGTTCGTTTCAAAGTTGTAAACATTTTCGAATATATACAGTTATAATCGAACCTCAGAAAACTTAAAATCCTCAATTCGGTTTTCATATTTTTTTATCCTTGTAATTTACAATATCATTCCGAATACAGGTAAACTTCATTTACCTGCATTCTACGGAGGGGCTATTGTAGTGACCCGTCTTATTAATCATCATCGCAGTATACTTTCACTATGCAATTGTACTTTGATTTGTTTATTACTCTAAATCTTGCATGTTAACAATTGATACCTTTTGTGCTCGCTCGATTTTTGAATTGTTGATTGCTGCAATAATACACTATCGTATTCCTTCGCAAGTGCCTTTTGAATTACGTTGCGGATGTCGAGTAATCGCAACGTTAGGGCACAATCATAAACGCGAAGAAATACTAGAAGATACGTGTACGCCAGTTTAATCAAAAATTAGCAGCTACAAAATAATAAAGAAAGAATGAAAAGATAGAGTAGTCGGTGCAGTGGGAGAAGACAGGACGGGTCGTGGGGATTTAGCTTGTATGCTTATCCATTGACAATGTGGTTTCAAATTTTAAGAGGATAAGCCATTGAGACACAAACCATGCATTTCTGCATGATTGTCCAGCTTCCGCTTAAAAGTCTCCACAGATGGCGCTGTAGTTACGGCCGCCGGTAAAGCGTTCCAGAGACAGCAAACTCGAAGCGAGAAGAAATGTGAACGCACTCGAGTCTTTGGTCTCTGGTGTGCTATCCTTAGCGGGTTACCTCGTGGAAGCCTATAATCACTTAATGGCAGGATGCTCTTATTAGGGTGGGCCTGGTCATTTAAGATCTTATAGACGGTGATGAGGTCTCCCCTGTGACTACGGTAACTAAGTGTGAAAAGACTTAATTTCTTTAGTCTTTCCTCATATGATTTGTTGTGGAGGCCGATCACCCATTTTGTCGCTCGTCTCTGGACACTTTCTAGCATGTTAGCATCCCTTTTGAGTAGCGGAGGAGCAATGATATTATGCACCTCAAGGAGTGGCCTCACGTATGTCGTATACAACGTTAAGAATAGTTCAGGAGTAAGAGCTCCCAGCTGCCTATGCATAAAGTGTAAAGCAGCGTAAGCTTTGGCGACGTCCCTCGTGTAATTTTCACTGGTGTCTAGCTTTTCTGTTAAAATAAGACCTAGGTCGCGTTCTGATGGCACACAACTCAAGTTCTGGCCACCAAGGGTGTATTTTGCACTCTGTGACCTGCCGGAATGAAGTTGCACTACTTTGCACTTCTTTAGGTTGAAAGGCATTCCGTTAGCCAGAGACCAGTCTCCCAGAGTTTGCAGGTCAGCCTGCAATCTGTCGGAGTCTTCCGGTGAGTTTATTGCTCTCCAAATCTTTACGTCGTCAGCGTAAAGAAGCGCAGAGCAGTTCAGTTGACAGGGCAGGTCGTTGATAAAAATCAAAAACATCAACGGCCCCAAGATAGAACCCTGAGGAACCCCTGATGCCGAGGTGTGCCAGGATGATCGGATGCTGTTGACTTTGGTGCAGAATTCTCTCTCGCCTAAGTAATCTTTCAGCCATGCGAGAAGTGCTCCAGAAACACCCGCTTTGCTTATTTTGTGAAGGAGCAGACCATGGTGAACTGTGTCGAATGCTTTCGCAAAGTCGAGAAAGATCACATGGACTGGTACCTTTACATCCCAGGATAGTGTCCAACCGTTCCAAGCTAGTAGAAGATTCGTCACACAGGATCTTCCCCTCCTGAAACCGTGCTGTGCTTCATGGAGTAGGTTAGTCCCGTCGAAGTATTTTCTCATGTGGCCGTCAATGAGACTTTCCAATATCTTCGATATCACTAGGGGTAGCGCAACTGATCTGTAACTGGTTGCATTCTCCCGGTCACCACCCTTGAAGATAGGGGATAGGATGGCTCGTTTCCATTCACATGGAAGTTTCCCTACATCAAAGGAGTGTTGAAACAGATCACTTAGGGATTGGCAGAGGCTTTCTGAACACTGCTCCAGGACGGATGGTCTTATGTCATCGCAACCTGCAGACTTTCCCGAAGCCAACTTTCCCAATTTTACGAGTACCATAGCCGGGGTAATTTGAAATGTACCTAGCAGGTTTTCGCACGTTGGTCTTGCATTGTAATCTTGATGTTTTGTGGGGGTAAAATCCTCGTTACTGTTCAGTTGCCTGTGAAGGGCTAGACTGAATGTCTCTGCCATTTCAAGACTAGTAAGAGATTTCCCATCAGAACCCACTAGATTGCAAGCTCCCTGGTTGGTCGGTTTTCTTTCAGACATAAACCTGTATAGACTTTTGGGGTTCACGAGAAGCTTATTGGCGAGGTTTCTCTGAAATGTCCTTCTATCACTCCGGACTCGTATGTTATATCGATTCCAAAGTTCGAGGTACACTTCATGTTCGGGTTGACTCTTCGATACTCGCCACGGAAACCAGGCTTTTCGCTTCGCCTGTAGAAGGCGTTGTGTCCCCCTTTTTAGCCATGAACGTTGCTTTCTAGCTTTTGGTGTGAGTAAACGGACAGTGTCTGAGACCGCCTGGTGAATGATCTCCTTTACCACTCCCCAGTGTTCTTCTACTGTAAGCTCTGTCCCATCTTTTGGCCAATTTGCTTCAGACAAAAGCCTTCGCATTTCGGTGTAATTGGCTTTGTTATAACACAGATCGGGCTGTGTATTGTCCCGCTGTAAACGCTCGCGGAGGACTGTGTCGAATACTATGACCGCGTGGTCACTACTACCTATGGGAGTCGTGATCTGAACGTTTTCCACCAGTAGCTGGTCACTAGTGAGCACATAATCCAGTCTAGAAGACTTCCCATCTGGGCCCCATCTAGTATCCATTCTGACATTTCCAGTGAATCCGGCCTCCCTGATGGTATGCAGCAGATTTCGATCACATCTGTCCTGGGCACATCCTGTCATCAAGTTAAGAGATGGGCCGTTGAAGTCTCCAGCTATGACAATTTGATCATAACCCATGTCTTGTGTCCCTGAAATTGCATTCAACGGTACCTGGTTGTGGTCTGCTCCACATGAAGGTGATCTATAAATGCTGCCCACTAGGCATTTACAGTACCCAACGGCGAAATGGCACCATATGGAGTCGAGGAGCTCAATGAGGGAAGGGTCCATTGCATGGACACATCTGAGCTGTTTGTCGACGTATATGGCGACTCCACCTCCTTCTTTCAGATTCCTATCTCGCCTGACCAGGACCATATCATTTATACTGACTTCGCTGTCTGCCACCGTAGGGGTTAGCCAGGTTTCCGTCAGTATTATGATTTTGGAGTTCAGCCGTGATTGTAGGTATCTAAGTTC